AGCCAGACACGAACATAATAAAAAATGAAGAACTACTTGTCAGAGTCCCTGCCAATGCCGACATGAAATGAAAAGTGAGCGAGAGGAGAGACAGGAGGCTGACAGTTCAGAGGGAGAGATTAAAAAAAATAGTCAATGGGGTCCTGGGCGATCCTCTGAAGCGTCCGTGGCCGGTTCTTGTGCAGACTGGAGCCAAACAGGTGTTTTCTTTTATCTCCCCCCTCCCACTTCTCTTTGTACTTTCTTGCCTTGCCTCATTTTTCTTATGCCTGTGTGTGAAGAGCTCATAAGGTGTGGTCTCTTTCTTTCTTTCTTCTCCATCAGCCTCGCAGTTGTGTACACGAGCGGCGTTGTTTATCGCAGGTAACATTTTCAAATCAGCAGAAATAAAACAGACGCAAAATGTCACATGACCTTTTACCGCTTTAGATTTCAGTGCAAGTGCAACCGCGCACCCAGAGAAGCTCGTCTGTATCTAATAAAGACGGTTCTAAACATTTTGTTGTCGGGAAAAATCTGGATACCATTAGGTTTTTGTGCATCTCTGGTGGTTTTTGATTTCCAGGACTGACTTTATCACGGTCAGGAGTTTGGTCAAGGACCAGACTGCATTTGAGTCCCATTCACTGTGTCCATCAACCAAAGGCTCAGAATGTCTTACCGTGAGCGACCCAGCCATGTTTACACTGGTCACATGTTCGCAACTGGATCTTCCCCGGCTGAAAACACTCGCACGTGCAGTTCACCAGTGTGCAACGAATTGCCTAGAAGAAAACAGAATGGAGAAAAAAAAATCCATTAAAATTCATTAATTCCATTAATAATAAAACAATGTTTTTTTTTACATTGCAAAAATTAATTTTAAATAATAAAACACTTGATTTTTCGTTACCGCTTTTTAATAACGTTACAGGGATTTAATTTAAAACATCCACAGCTGCAGCCGTTGCCAGAGAGAACAACTCTGGGCTCATAAATTTCCCAACTTCTATTTCAATCCAGTGTTTGAATCTGCCTCTCGTACTGTAATTTCCCAGAGTCCATGTGAGCCGACGGAGGATTTCCCTCCCTGAGAACACAAAAATCTAACTTGTTTTGACTGAAGCTCCATTACTCAATACTGGAGCTGCGCTGAGCCTGACCCCGGAAAGCTTTTAGCAGTGAGAGGTTAAGTGTCCAGTCTTGACAAGGGCAACTCGGAACAACAACCAGAATGGTCTGCGTGGGCTCCTGCCCTATGAAGGCCAATCAGACACTGGGCAGATCTGGAGGTGAATTCAGCACAATGTAATTTAATGTTGTAACATGTTATTATTAAACTAAAACAAGATTTTTATTTTTTATTTTTTTGCCATGAGGGAGAGATCAGTTTACACCGACGCACATTTAATTTGGAAAACCAGTAACAAAACAACAAACAACAATCACATCTAAGAATTTAAAATGAAAGAAGTAAAAGGAATATTTCCAAAACAGAAATAAAAAGCGACCTTTTCGAAACACTCGCAAGAAGACAACCAGCTGCAGCAGGAAAGAAAAACTGAATGCTAACACTCGGGGAAAATAGTTATTGGAGATTTTATTCAGTTCAGTTTTTCTGTATATGTTAAGTATGTTAAATTCTCAGGCTTTTTAAGATTAAGAAATTTAATCTTAAAAATTACAGCACTCAGCAGAATGATCGCTGTTAATCTGTGCCATTTATCCTGTTAGTAAAAATCTACAGAAATGTAGAGAATTTACCGTATTAGTCGACGTCAAAAACATTTGACAAGAATAAATCACAGACCGCTCTGAAAAATGTATTCTACATTTCGTCTGTAATCTAGCAATTATTGTGATCATTTTGTCACAGACTGGATGCCAACGTTCACAGGTCGAGGTCCATGTCTGCACAGATGTATAAAATATGTCACACAGTTCACTGCCTCATCCCGGCCCTGCTAACACAGCGTGTGTCATTCTGTCTGGTGCTCGAGGACGGAGATGACACCAACGTGCAGTAATTCCATACGTTTAAAGACGGATTTCTCCTTATCTACAAAGGCACCGTGAATCACAGCAGACCCCCCTCCAACACACACACACAGGCCAAGGTGTTAGAACCACAGATTAGTGACTTGGTGTCAAAGTGAGCACGGGTTTATCCCAGATTAGACCCCGAATTACACCACAGGTAACATCACCGCCTCACTGTGTGACAGCGAACCAGACAGGAGCCGGAGTTTTGACACCGTTTTTTAAGCTCTCCAGGTACAAGAATCCTTTCACTGTGAAAGGTTTATAAGCTGCGGCAGTTGGAGTACATGCAACGCAGAGTTGATGATAGCAAACAGAAAAATGTGCAATGGAATATTTAAAATTTTTATCATTGTTTTTAGGGGAATATGACCGTCCCTTAATTTGTTAACACTAAATTATATGATTAAATTTTTTTCTAATTTTTATAAATATAAATATTTATATTTATTATAATTACTTTTATATACCCACTTTATAGATATATATACATATACATATAAAATGATAACTGACTGAGTTATTGTGATTTAATATACATATTAAATCATGTTGTTTTCCAATAAATACAATAATGTTGATATTGAATCCTTAGCAATTTAAATAACACCTGATGAATATTTTCAAAAATATTAATGAATATCAGTAAATATATCAAAATTGCTATTTAAATACAAAACCTTCTAATAAAAAGCATCATCTATTTTTTTTTACCTTTTAACTCATCAATAACTAATACTCAACATTAGTGCTCGAATTCTACCTTTTTTTCTTTTTTTTTTAATGTAACTGTTTCCACATAAGGACCTGTGCAGATACTAATTGAGAGTCTCCAGATTTAGCACCATCATGTCACACAACACAAGCCCTTTTTAATTACCTCTGTGCGGCGGCGCTAAGAGCAGCAGACGGAAACAAACAAATGGAATTATCAAACGCACCTCTTCTGTTTACGAGCTGCGCCGTGACAGCTGACAAGATAGTTAAGGGGCATCTAATACGCAATTAAAGTGTGCCACTGTCTGCGGGGCTGCCGCTGTGACAAGGAGCCCTCTAATCACTGACTTATTACGCCGTCTGGAAGCACCTCTCATATCTGGCCCATTAAACAGACAGCAGCAGCATTAAGGAGCATTAAAGCAGCAAGACCCTTCAAATGAGGAGGCACTGACAGGAGAGAGAGAGAGGGAGAGAGAGAGAGAGAGAGAGAGAGAGAGGGTGACGGGAAGACCGCGCCTGCTATTTCTCTGGATTATTTTTTCACTTTTTTCACATTCCTTCTGGGACCTGTAAGGCAAGGTTAGGAAGAGAGAAGATTGAGATGTGGCTCCTTCCAAATAAGTCACAATTACACAAGAATGAAATGTTAGATCTGTTACGCAATGGCCAGGAAATAAAAATGGTCAAAATGTGAGAGTGTGTGTGTGAGTGTGTGTGTGTGCGAACCAGGAAAGACATAATCATAAAGACAAGCTTTCATGATTCCCATGTAAACAACACTTGAGACTCTGGTTAATGTGGCCCCAGGTCACGTTTGGCCTTGATTTAAACTTTGTTTGGACTGGACTATGTCAGTGACAAGTTTGGGCCTAGATCCCAACGCTGCACTAGCACATAGTTGTCACAGCAGGCCAGTGGAGGAGGCCGTGTTATCTGGGGCCTAGACAGACACACAGCGTTAGGCAATGCATGAATGTCTCACTAAGGTTTCCTCCTTGGCTTAGAGTGAAAGAAGACAGCAGTGAGGAACAGGACAGAGGATGTGCGTGGGTGAAAGTGAAAAGTTTGGATGAAAAAAAAACAAAAAACCTAATTAGACCTCGACACAACATCGAGAATCTGCATTCTTTGACCACTGCCCTCCTGCCTCTTTGGGTGACAGCGTAACCTAGTGGCGTTCAGAACGCATCGTTTTCATCCCTTATCTGGCTGAAGTGTGTGTGTGTGTGTGTGTGTCAACGCGAGAGCTTGTTTAGCTTGAGGCCTGATGTTTCGTAGATGTTTTGCTTGGCTTACAGTTCCTGTCCCAACCCATTTGTATAAACACTGAGAGTTGGAAATGGTCAGCATTAGACTGAGGACTCTAAATTAAAAGACTGTAGGGGGACAATGAACTGGAGGATTGTTGGAAAGACGGAGTGGAGAAGGAGAGCCTCCGTCTGGACTTTTGGAATTTTCACAAACGGAGCGACTGAGGAAAAACACTCTGCGGCTTTAACGGAAGAAAAAAAAAGAGAGACATCCTTTAAAACAAAAGAAATGAGGGTTATCCTACACTAATAACATATACAACTCTATCACTACCCTGTCATTTGTACGGTTGACGTGCAGTATGTGCCGCAGAAAACACCACCGAAACACCAAATGCCAGGTTTTCCTCCAGCCCTGCAGAGGTCTCTGCAGCGAGGCTACAGTGGAGAGCCAACCCAGACAGCTGCTGGACGCAGGGCCAGTATTGTTCCTCCTGCTTTAATTGAAACCTTTACCATGTTCAACACACGGCCACAGACCACATTTCTTGTTTGGTGAGTTAAGCAAAGCCGGGACTTTAATGAAAACCCCGTGTGTGAAATGCACATCTGTGCACATATGTGCGCCTCTTCTCCGCAGCAGCAGCAGCTTTGGATTTAAACTTGTCTCTGCTAAGGGTCACTGTAAAACACTGGGAGCATCTTGTCCTCTCTTCCACCCACAAGATATTATCTCATCCATGAGTTAGCTGCTGAAATGCTGTCAGTTTACTGCCAGAAATGTGCAGCAAACGTGTGTCGGAAAAGAGGCACAGCAGCTTTGCGTGTCATAAAGCAGGCCCTGGCTTTGTCTGACGGAGCAGGACTTCACAATGTCCATATTAAAAACAGGTGACAAATAAAACACGTTGAATACAGAGAGCCTTTGTAGTCAGCCACAGCACGCCATGAAATTTGGGAGGGGTGTGTGGTGTGGTGTGGGGGGGGCACATACCTCATGCAAAGGCAAATTTTTGCTTGTTTGATTTTCTACATCATGCACCTGACTTGAAACACAGTTCGCTTGGCTCACAGAACGCCAAGAGATAAACAATGATTAATCACTGACTTCAGCCGACAAACCAGAAACTACAGTCAACAGAAACTGAACTCCCTGCAGAGAAAATCCCATCCTGCCTGTCAGTTTTTGAACTCAGCGACTGGCAGGCCCAGAGTCAGGGGTCCCTGTCCTTTGTGCAGCTGTGCGTCCAGGCTTTGAGATGGGGAGAGCGACCAGAGCTATGCTAATGGAAACCAAATGGGGCGTGAGTCCCTGGTGGATTAGAGAATGAGAAGAGAAACAAGTGTTTTCATGTGATCACGAGGAGACCCGGGACCCTTCCTCTTTTCTTTCTTCCTTTTTTCTCTTCTCTTTCAGTAAAATAAATAAGAAAACAGAAGCAGCCATCCTGGTTGTTTGCACGCATCACCGATAAATTAAAAAAAAGAAATCCAAATTTCAGATTTTTTTTGATTTTTTTGATTTTTATTTTTTTGCCGTTTTGTCAAAAAAAAGTAAAAACATTTAAATACAATTAAATTTATATTATAACTTCATTTCCTCCAGTGTTTAGCAAATAGCTTTTGGGGCACACAGTTAGAAATAAGATCTGTATTTAAAAAGTGCTTCTTTAGTCCTGGTGGCCACTCAGAAGTACTCCACCCATCCACTTTGAGGTGGAATAAATCTGATATCAAACCTGAAAAATCCCTGATTGGTTGTTGAAGACAACTGA